TTATTTTAATTTATTTCCTACATTTACAAATGTTTAGAATTGAATGTGTGAAGTCCAATTTCACTCAAAATACAAGCTTCAATCTTAATAGATGAGCGTACCCTGTTTCTTGCATAATTTGTACCATATACAAATTTTATTTGAATGAAAAATGGATACAGCCATCAATTCTGAAACCTTTAAAAGTGTAGGAAATGAGCTTGAAATTCCAAAAAATAAGGATAATTGAGCGTGTAAGAATTAATTCAGGAAACATGTCAAAGGCATTATTCAAGATATAGTTTTCATTTTGATGAAAATTCATTGTTGCCATAATTTTAATGATGTTTGATAGTGTAGGAAACAAATTTAAAATGTCAAAAAATAATGAAAATTAAGCTCTTAAAAATCAATTGAAAAATATGACTAATTACAGTATTCAGAATGAACCATTGAGTTTTATGGGAATTGAATGTTACCATTAAATTTTACACACTATTAAATGTAGGAAACAACTTTAAAACTTCAAAAAAGCATAAAAAATAAGGTACACACATGTATGCAAACAGTTAGGTGAAAAAGTGAGGAATTAATTAAAAAAATGTGTCGAATGCAGCATTCAAGGTATAGTTTTCAACTTGGGGAAAGATGGTTGATACCATAATTTTATACATGTCTTAAAGCTTAGGAAATAAATTTAAAATGTCAAAAAATGATGAAAATTAAGCTGTAAAAAATTAAGTGAAAAAATGGGTGTAATTTGAGTATTAAAAGTGAACCGTTGAGTTTTAAAAAAATTGGACTGCGCCATTAAATTCTGCGCACATTAAAACCTAGGAAATAAATTTAAAATTTCAAAAAAACATAAAAAATAGGGTACAAACATGTATCCATACAATTAATGGAAAAAATGAGTAGAAAAAAAAAATTAATAATTAAAACTCATTTTTATGGAAAATGGTTTTCACCATTAAATTCTACGCGCTTTGAAACCTAGGAAACAATTTTAAAAATTCAAAAAAAGTCAAAAAATAACCCATAAAAAATTAATTACGAAACCGCGTCCAAAAGCGGAAACCGCGTGTGCTGCGGCGCATCAAAACCGCGTCAAAACGCGGAAAAACCGCGTTTTTTTATTAAGGCCCAAACAAGGGCCTTAATAAAACCGGGTGTAAACATGGAATCCGGGTGTGCTGCGCGCAGCAAAAACTGGGTGTAAACGCAGAAAACCTGTGTTTTTTTATTAAGGCCCTTGAATTACTCTCAAAAAGGAAATTCTCCATGTTTTGCATAATTTGATATTCTGAGAAGTTTGAGAGTAGAGGAGAAATGGCTGGGGATGAGAAAATCTAGGAAGGTGTTTTTCAATGTGGACAAAGTGAGTGATAGAAATGTGGATTTGAAAGAATTCAGAATTGCGGGAAATTGTGAAATTTAGGATTCCAGAACTGGATCTGGAAGGGCTTCCAGATTGAAAGGAAGGCTTCCAGTGGGTAGAATCATCTTGGGCCCTCCCAGTTTTTGATTGAGAGTCAAAAAGTCCAAATATTTGCAAGTAAATATAGCTTTTGAAGCTTTGAATCAAAACTGAAGGCAAAAATGGGCTGCTACACTACTCTACAATTTTTGCTCAAAAAGTGTTAGTGTTGGAATTTGTGACCTGCACAAGATCCTGGGACCCAGAAACCATATATTCAAATGCACTAATGTCAACATTTCTGATGCCATTTCAGCCACATACAATCAGACATAGGAGAAAACTGAATTCAAGCATGAGAGCTCAGTTTCAGCTTCATCTGCTAATTACAAACAAAAAAATCCTCAAGTTTCAAATAGGGCCTTGGAAAAACAACTCCCATAATTTTGGAGTCTCACCAAGCAGGTCAAGACCTCTCACCAAGCTAGAGATGGCCTCAGGGTATCCATTGGGGATACCTGCCAGGGGATTTGGATTTGGGTATGGTGTAAGGACTCCGTCAAGTCCTTCACTGTCCGTTGGAAAGGCACTAGAAAAGGGGCTCAATAGCTCCTGAAGGAAGGATTCTAGTACCAAAGTGGGGTGAATTGCAGTCTAGACCGGAGAGAAAGAACTCTTGTTAGTATATACAAGTAAATGAAAATGAGAAAAGAGAATGGGAAGAGAAGGAAGGAAGACAGGATACTTACCTAGACCGGAAAGAAAGATCTCTGCTGTCTAGGTAAAGGGGAAGGGTGAGACTAAATACAAGGTGGAACTAAGCTTATGTAATCTTGTGACATCATTGTGTAAGCCTGTGAGGAGCAGGGCTTACATGTGGATGCCCCATTCTCCTTGGAATCCTGGCAGGTATCCGGGTATCTCCAGGGATATACCCGTCAGAGGGACCTCCTCCCAAAGATCTGGGTTTAAGCCCAGCTCACCACGAGGTTCTCCTAAAGAGCTGGGTTTAAGCCCAGCTCCGCCCAATGAGCTGGGTTTAATCAGGAGCTCATACCAACAAACTGGGTTCAATCCCAGCTCATAAGGGGGGTGTGGTGTAGCCTCATGTCAGATTACGTGTAATACATCACAAAACTACACCACATTGGGAGGCACTCCTCCCAACAAGCTGGAATCAATCCCAGATTTTTGGAGCCCCTCTTACAAGCTTGATTTAATCTCAGCTTGTCTGGAGCTTCATCAAACCCAGCGTACCAGGCCCTCCTCCCAACAAGATGGGTTTCATCAAAGCCTGCCCAGAGCTCCTATCAAATACGGAGCTCCTCCTGGTAAGCTGGTATCAAATCCAGATTTCCAGGAGGAGTCTCTCACAAAAAGGTTGTTACATGATCCAGCTTTTGGGGAGGGACTATTGCAACACAACCAGGATGTAAATATAACCTGTTGGGTGGGCCCCTCAGGGTAAACTGGCACATAATCCAGTTTTTTGGGAGGATCCTCTCGGGGACTCCCAGAAATATCCATCTAACACCAGTTTTTTTTTTGGAAAAAAACTCCTCCCGGTAAGCTAGTATGAGAGCCAGCTTGTTGACAGGAACCCCTACCAATGTAGCATAGGCTTGCGTGGGATTGTGTGCAATCCAACATGACTGACATGAGACTTGGCAGCCCCCTCTACCCTACAGCCTGTGGGGCCTGCTGAAAAGCTGGGATTAAGATTTAAGTTGATTTCAAATCTGGAATATTCATTCTCAAATAAGTGTTGAAATCTAGGAAATGATTTCAAATTCTGGTGTTTCTTATATCTTAATCAGCAGGGAACTAAACATATGGGGAATAACCATGTGACAACATCAGGTAAATTCAGATGAAGTTGAAAATCTTTTCCAGGAAATTGAGAATAATTTCAGAATAAAACCTAGTGACTTTCTTGTGAAACTCTTTTTTTTATTTATGATCCTTAAGTTCTAGTGATTTTTATAATCTTTTTTGAATATTTCAAAGTGACTTAGTTGATACTTGCAGTCACTGGCAAGTCAGTGCCCTAGAATTTCCCCTGATAGCACTCATGAGCCACAAAAAACGGCCAAAAAAAGCAACTTCAATGTCTCAGAAGGCCTCCCAGGGTTTCAATTTTAACCACCCGGGCTCTCGTGGGGGTCTCCCAGACCCATCCCGATTACCTGACCCTGGGTGGTGCCACTCGGGGCTTTACCCCGGCTGGTGCCTTTCGGGTGCCAGCCTTAGCCACAGTGGTGCTTTTTTTCATGCAAACTTCCCTTGACACTGACAGACCTCGAACTGCCAAAATAATCTCCAGATTTGGATCATACATACGAAAGACAATATTCCGAATGAGTGCCGAGAAGACGATGATCAACGGGGTGTCGATCGAAGATGACATGGAGGACGATTTTGACGACCTGCTAGACAAATTCAAGGCGCCGACGGAAACGAAGAAGGAAGAGCCATCACTGCCGAAGGAGAAGGCGAGTGAGAGTGCGAAGGCCGACTCATCAGGGACAGAAGAATGGCCCAACCAGGAGATATCCGACGAGTTTGCACGAGATCTTGCCGAGGGAATGGAGGCCTTACTCGCAGGAATGAAGGACGAAGACGGCGGCGAGTTCAAGAAACATCTCGAGGCTCTCGTCTCGGCCGATGGTGGTGGTCTCAAGGGCGCTACTGACTTGCTCGAGGCTCTCAATCAGAATGATCCCAACCCCAACCAACAATCTTCCTCCTCTTCTTCAAACCTGCCCGAACATGAATCTAAAAACTTTCAAGAGGCTATCCAGGAGACCATGGAAAAACTCAAACGATCAGACGATTCTGCTAAAGTATAAACTCGAATACTCATTATCCATTCTCATCAGGTTTGATAACTGCATATCAAACTGCTCCTGCATGTCAAGAACCTGAGTCTACATAACTAAACACACACACATATATATATGAACATATCTATTGCTGCACTGGGAACTCTTGACTGATTCGAACTTTTTGTTTTATCTTGATATCAGGCAAAGAGCGGTCCGTCAGGTGCAGGGGAAGAAGATGAAAAACTCTCGGCCTTGTTCGAAAAAATGATGTCGGGCGAAAATGGATTACCGGACGAAACCCAACTACAAACGATACTGCAGTCCTTTATGGAAGAGCTAATGTCGAAGGAAATCATGTATGAGCCGCTGAAAGACATGAATCGATTAGTGCGTTTTCAAACTTTTTTTTTCTGTTCATATTCCCAGGTAGGTTCATTGACTGACTTGTAAATGAATCATTTCTTTGACAGTTCCCGGATTGGATAGAGGAGAACCGAAGTAAACTATCACCGGAAGATATGAAGAGATACGAAACCCAAGCCAAGATCATCGAGCAAGTGATCGAAAGATTTGACGATCCGAGTTGGGATTCCGAAGAGAAAGCAGGCGGAGATCGATTTCTTTCTCGTCAGAAAGAAGTCATCGAGCTCTTGACTAAGATGCAAGATTGTGGTCCACCTCCGAAAGAGATCTTGGGCGATATGCCTCCAGGTAAGCTTCCCCTCTCAGCTTTTTCAGTACAGCTTCTTCAGTAAGAACCAAAAACAATGAAACAGTCTTTTGAAAGCCCATTAATGCTATATTCTTTTTCTTCGATTTATAACAGGTGTGTTTGGCGAAGACGGGCTACCAAATCCTGAACAGTGCTTGATTTCATGATGCTCCCCTTTCTTGCTCTCACATCATATTGTTCTGTTGGTTATTTCATCCCTGACTCCTGACACACAAGTGTATGCATGAATGAAGGGGCTCCTAGTCAGACACACGACTCACATCTTTTTGGAGTGAAATGAGACGCAGTCTCCAACCAACCTCGTTTCTTTTTCTTAATACCCATCCAGATGACTAATAATGGATCATCCTCTTCAGTGTGGGTCTTTGTCTCAGTATCCTTCATGCTAATAACAATGCAATCTTGAGAAAAACAAACGTATGGAAATACATCTCCTGAAAAAACAAGTTGAGATGAAAGCTACGCAGAAGTGAAAAATGACTATGAGATTAGGGGCAGGTGTTGGAACTACCAGCCCACGGACAGAGAGGGACGATAGATGAACTTGCGAACATCAATTGAACGATCTGTACGAGAAGGGCGTTGAGATGGTCCGGCAAGTCGATTTCCGCAATACTTCGGCGCCCTCCAAAGCTGGTAAGTTGAAGTGAAGACTTCTTAACAGGGGAGGGTAATTTGACATGATTGCGTTGGTTGAAGGCCAACTGAAGGAACAAAGGCTGGGTATTTATAGTGGACAGTCCAGGATGAGGTTAGGTTTCGTGTGGCTTGTGTTCAAGGGTGCTGTGAAGGGGGGCTTGAGATGCTGCGGGAGTCTGCCCTGCCGTCTGTTCCCGGGCGTCGGGTCGGCCCTCCGAAGGGGTTCTCGCGACGATCGATCACCCTCGTGCTGTTGACCGTCACTCCTTCCTCTCCCTCCCTTCCTACGGCCAAAGGGAACTTGATCACGAACAAAAAAAATAGATAGATTGAACTGTATAGACTCGTTGATTGCCGAAGAAGACCTTGGAAAACAGTTACTCCCTCTTGCCCTATCCTCAGGTTCAAGGATGTCGCTCTTGTTCCCTAATATGGCCTCTTTGGCCAACTCTCTTACCCCTTCCGTCGGTGGTCTCAACACGCCTTTCCCTTCGTTGAAAGTTGCAAGTATGTCAAATCTCTGTGCTATCTTATCATTTCTTATCCATCCCGATCTATTTATACATATACATACTCGCTTTACATCGACTAGTTTCCTGGTAATAGTATTATGACGACATATTCTGACCATTTGCTGTATCACTTATCCAGGCATTGTCGACGATGCCAAATCGAAGGCAAAGCAACTAGAAAGCAAATCCAAGGAAGGGATCGAAGGCGCCAAGGCCCAAATCAGCTCAGAGGCCGAGGCCTTGAGATCCAAAGTGGCGTCTGCAGCCGGTGTCGGTGCCGCTTCCAAAGCCAGTATCGAACTCTACTCGACGAAGTACTACGCCGCCTGTGCCGGTGGTGGTGTACTGGCCTGTGGTCTCACCCACGCTCTCGTCACCCCCCTCGATCTGGTCAAATGTCGAAGACAGGTAAGCAACTCCTCATTCACTCACTAGCTATTGCCCAATGATCGAGGGTTGCCGGATCACTAAACCATCTTGAATTGTACCCACTCGATCGATTAGGTTGACAAGACCCTTTACAAGGGTAACATGGACGGATGGAGTAAAATTTACAAGTCAGGTGGATTGGGTGGACTCTAGTAAGCCACAACGTCTTTCTCCAGCCTTACTCCGGTGATCGATGAGCTGATGTGAGATTTTCCTCCCTCCAGTACTGGTATTGGTCCCACCTGGGTCGGTTACTCAGTTCAAGGTGCTTGTAAATACGGTTTCTACGAGTATTTCAAGAAAAAGTCAGTCAAGCCTCCTATGACATACTCCCCTAGTGAAGCTCTACTCAAATTGATGTTCTGAACATGATTTCTTTGTGTCTGAAGATACGCCGATGCCGTTGGACCCGCCAATGCGGTGAAATACAAAGATGCGATCTACCTAGCCGGCTCTGCCTCCGCCGAACTGATTGCTGATGCCGCCTATGTCCCACTCGAAGCCGTCAAGGTCCGAATGCAAACCACGATCCCACCTTTTGCCACCGGAATGGTCGATGGATTCAAGAAGTTCGTCGCTGTTGAAGGTACCGGTGGCCTTTACAAGTCTCTCGGATCGCTCTGGTCTCGTCAAATCCCCTACACCATGATGAAGTTCTGGTCTTTCGAAGCCACTGTTACCAAGATCTACGCTTCGCTCGGCAAACCCAAAGACTCTTACAACAAGGTGAGCATCCGAACTTGTGTTCTTTCGCGTGACCGGCCATTGTCAACATGATCTGATCGTTGATGGCTTTGACGTTTGGTTTATTCATAGCTTCAACAATTGGGTGTCTCTTTCGTTGGTGGTTACATTGCCGGTGTTTTCTGTGCAGTTGTATCTCAGTAAGTTTACCTTCCGCGTACCTTGTAAAATTTACAAAACGTTATTACTGACTCTGTTCGATGTTATCTCTTACCAGCCCCGCTGACACGATGGTCTCCAAGTTGAATGCAGTTGGCAAGGAAGGTTCAGCCAAGCCCAGTGTTGGTTCGATCTACAAGGAAATCGGATTCGGCGGTCTCTGGGCTGGTCTCGGAACCCGTATCGTGATGATTGGTACTTTGACCGCTCTGCAATGGTGCGTTTCGTTTTTCTTACATCCATCATCTACAGCTAACTGACACTTGCTTGAACACAAACCGAATCTGCAATCAGGCTCATCTACGATTACGTCAAAGTCGCCTTCGGATTGCCCACCACTGGTTCAGCTGAGCCTCAAAAGAAGTAGAGATGATCAGTTCAACTGAGATCATTGTTTGTTTTTTTAAAGTACCTTAATCATCGCTTGTCTCCATACATCGTAGTCTTGCACCCTTTGAAATCAAAACTCAAATCCATCTCTCTGACTCTGAAATCTCATGTCAATATTCTTCTTGCTGGTCCGTGTAGTCAGTCTTCATGAGCCTCTTCAAATATGCCTTTTTTCTCTGATCCTTCTGGGCCTGCTCAATGAAATTGTGAAAAATGTAAGTGTGCACGGGATCCTCCGTTGCCGTGTTCATTTTGCCTTCCGGACGATATTCGGTTATCAGGACATAGCATGCAACCCGGACTTTGGCTTCACTATAAGCACATTGAGTTTGCTGTGTATATGTACTTATATCACAGCAGATCGCAGCAAAGTTTGTGCTGTGTATAAACTAAGTTTCTTCTGAGTTCTTCCCCGCCGAGATCTACCGCCGGATCCCCAGCCTCATAGGCCCCGTTGTCTCCAGTCTTAATGCTTTCCCCCAAGTATTTATTTATGCTCGTCTTGATATGAGTAACCCGGTGGTTTCCAATTCATTTATCTTCCTTAGTATTACGAGTTTGAGAGCATGCAGTCTATCTTACTCCCTCATCTGGTCAGTCCATTCAATTTTAACTCTACACTCGGGGATTCTAATGCCCTTTTGCATCCTTGGAAAGCTGCTGGTCAGTCTTCTGTCTCTTTCCGTGATGCTTCTTCATCCTCTTCCATAGCAAGACCACTTGATATATCCCGACGGATGTCCTAGTGGTGATGAAATCTTTGCAAAGTCTTAACACTCTTCGGATTGACTGTCCCTATATCTATATAACATGTTTCCAGGCATTCTAGATGACAGCAAATCGAAGGCAAAGCAGATAGAGGAAGGCATCGATCGGAGATCCAAAGCGTCCATTGTCTCCAGCAGCGGCATCGGTGCAGACTCCACAGCCAGCCCCCAGCTCCATTCAACCAGGTATTACACCGCTTGCATCTCCGCGGGCGTCGCTGCTTGCGGCCTCACTCATGCCCTCGTCACTCCTCTCGATCTCGTCAAATGTCGAAGACAAGTAAAATCTTCTTCTTTTTCTTCCTTGTCATGTTTTCCTTGGTGGGATGTGGCGGCCTAAACACACTGGATTTCTCTTGTTTATTGACTGGTGAATGGGGTTAGGTTGATAAGACTCTCTACAAAGGAAACTTGGATGGCTGGATCAAGATTTATAAGGCCGGCGGTGTGGCCGGACTGTAGTAAGTCCAACACACTTTACCTGATCATGTTAATAATATTATCATTGGTCTATGTTCATCGATCCTTCCAAGCGCTCATTTTTTCTTTTTCTTCTATGCCTTAAGCACTGGTGTAGGTCCCACTTGGCTTGGGTATTCTGTCCAAGGCGGTTGCAAATATGGGTTTTATGAATATTTCAAGAAGAAGTAAAGTTTTCTTTTTGGTTTTAGGTTTTGCTCGTCACGATGTTCTTACGATTTTTTTTTCGTTGTTGATTGAAAACTGAAGATACGCGGACGCCGTGGGGCCAACGAATGCAGTTAAATACAAAGACGGGATATATTTAGCGAGTTCAGCCACAGCGGAGCTGATAGCTGATGCGGCCTACGTGCCGCTGGAAGCGGTCAAAGTGCGGATGCAGACGACGATCCCGCCCTTTGCCGCGGGGACGGTTGATGGATTCCAGAAGTTCGTTGCCGTCGAAGGTGTCCAAGGTCTTTACAAGTCCCTCGGCTCGCTTTGGTCTCGTCAGATCCCTTACACTATGATGAAGTTCTGGTCCTTCGAAGCTACGGTTCGCAGGATCTACGCCTCGCTTGGTAAGCCCAAAGAGTCTTACAACAAGGTCAGATGTTTTCCCGCTTTTCTTTCTCCTTTGATACTTTCGGCCACACATGATAGCACATTCTCACCATCACTGTATCCAATGTCTGCTTTTAACTCCAGCTTCAACAATTGGGGGTTTCTTTTGTTGGTGGCTACTTTGCGGGGATTTTTCTGTGCAGTTGTGTCCCAGTAAGTGGCCAAATTCCAGATGATTGATTCTCCTTACCTAGTCGTGATCGCTAAGAGTGTTTTAATGGATTCTAATAACATTTCCTCCCTTACACAAGTCCCGCTGATACGATGGTCTCGAAGTTGAATGCGGTTGGTAAGGAAGGATCTGGGAAGCCTACGGTTAGCTCGATCTACAAGGAGATCGGATTTGGAGGGCTGTGGGCCGGTCTTGGCACCCGCATTGTCATGGTTGGAACTTTGACTGCTCTGCAATGGTATGTCCTTCTTCCATTCGTCCAAAAAAAAAAAACCTCCAAGTTGATGAAGATCAAGGACAACTGATCGACAAATAATCATGTCCGCTTGTAGGCTTATCTATGATTATGTGAAAGTGGCCTTTGGATTCCCTACCACTGGTGCTGCTCAACCTCAACATAAGTAAAGCTGCAAATGAAACCCACATTCCTTCTTGTTTCGATTCACATATTCCTTCTTATATTATAACAATGTATCATCAATAACATCTTAAAATCAAAAGATGTCATATTACCAGGTCAATTTTTTTGGATCACTTGTCTAAATTTCTTTTTCTCCAATTTTTGAATTTACATTTCTTGATATTTTGTCTGTTATCAACTTTGGTCATCACTTTCAAACTGGAATTCCTTCTATCATTTGGCTAACTTCTTTTATTCATTACACAAAACAAAGTGGTATGATGAGTTTGTAGCGCCAATCAAGATACTAGAATGTCAGTTTTGGACAGTTCAAAATGTTGCATCTACTATTAAGTATGGCAAACTAGACCACTGATTCCAAAAGTGGCCCAAATTCCCGGTCCCTGATTGCAACTAATAGCATATCATATCATGGCACATCTGTGCTAACAGAGCCGGGTGTTCCAAGTATTTTGATGAGTACATCAATTGAGGACAGTATGCCGGCTTGATGGATGCTATTTTAGGTCATCAATCCCATTGTTTGATCTTCTTATCTTAAAAGTATCAATCCCAATTCCTGAAAATCATATCTAACAAGTGACGGTGCATTAACTTTTCTTATTTGAGAGAAGATTAAGGGCTCAAGATGTCCTTATCTCTTGTGTCCATAAAAATTCATTGAATACACAGTTAATAAAGGAAAGAAAAGAAAAACTAGATGTTCTTTTGAGTTGAATTGTTGTCTTTACTTGTTTGTTTTCAACCAATTGTGTGCTTGCTCAATTTATCTTTGAAAGGAAAGGTTAAAAGGTAAAGTCTTGCTATCCCAAAGCCTTTGAGATAGCATGACTTTGTGGAAATGGTGAGAGTTATTAATTTACTATAGTATATACACATATGAATAAGGTGAAGAGGGAGTTGGTGAGAGTGACATTATGTACAACAGATCTGAAGGCTGTGACCAACTGCCTTTTATATTTTAACAAGCGAGTATTCCAATAAAGAGGATTTTAATCCATTTCTGGGAAGTGCCTTTTTCCTTATCTAGAGAGCCACGAAACAGTCGCGCGCAGCAGCGGTTGGCAATCAATGCCAAGAAGTGGCGCGATATTGCGACTATCGAAAGGCTCTAGGAGTGGATGAAATCATTTCACAAGTTTTGCGGCAACACAATTCCCGAGATTCATCGGTATGTTGGGCTGGATGGATAGGGGCCAATTGCATAGGAACGATAGTAGATTGTGAGCAGGAATGCTTATGTAGTTGAAGTTGAGCACAGAAAGACGCATCGAATCTCTAGATTTTTTAGGCCAGTATACTCACGGGAACCCTGTGACAACAAAGCGGAAGGTAATCTTCGTTGCAGTGAAAAAGTCCTTCGACTCCACTAGCCGGACGCAAAAACTCGGGATAGTAACCACCTGGAGAGAATGGGATTTTTAGTGGTTAAATCTTTTTTTTTGCTTTTGGAATGCAAAAATCATCTGATATCTAGAAGGGAGTTTCTCAAAAAAAAATGTACTCACCCCCGGTAAGAGGCCTTACACCATAAGCAACGGGATACTCTATGAGATTTATACAGTAGCCAGTCCTGTCGCGAGTTCCTTTTCTGAAGACGGGATTCTGGCCGAGTACTCTGCTGATGGACAGTATAAGTATTATTGAGCTCGAGAGCATATTGATGGTGAAGTTCATCCTTGGATGAGTGTTGAAGATTCAGAATCAGGAGAAGATGCAAGCGAGTTTGATGAGCGGTAAGGTGTGTCTGAGGCAATCAGGTTTTCCCCGAGTCCTGTCCGCTGGTGTTTATCTAGAAGTGCCCTTGGTTGCTCTGGACTCGGAGTTTTTGCACAAGGAGGAAATGGTTGGAAAGACTACGCCAGTCATAAACATTAAATGCACAACAAGCTTCCAGTAAGATCGATTCAACGAGGTTGCTTGCTGGACCCTTGCCCGTGCCTAGCGCGGCCACCCAAGCATTGGGCCGATGCTTGACATGTAATTGCTGCTTCCAAGCCGTCCCTCATGAGCCCGATGTATCACGCAACCCGACGGGACTAGAGATTACGCTGGGCACGCAGGGTTTCGAAAACTATTCAAAAAGATTTCGAAATGCATTCGGAATCCGCGCCTGGACGGACTCCGGGAGGGACCTTGGCTAAGGCCCCAATTATAAACACCTTTTCAAAATGTATTTGAAATAATTTGAAAAGTGTTGCAACTTTGTTTTGATTTTTTTTCCTTTTCTTTTTCATTTCAAAACCGAGCTCAAAACCATTCAAACCTCCTCCAGAGGACCTATGGACCTACATGCCATACACTGTAGAAGTGCAGTAAGAAATACATGTGAATGCACTCCTACAGTGCAAAAGCGGTAAATCCCGCTCCCAATCCCGATCCCGCAATCCCGCAATCCCGCAATCCCCCTCCAGTCAAACCGATCAAAGCTCGACTTCAAAAATAAATAAAAAACCACCCTTCTCAATCACCCCAATAGGCATTAGGCCTTAGGGTTAGGGATTAGGGATAGGGTTAGGGATTAGGGATAGGGTTAGGGGTTAGGGATTAGGGTTAGGGATTAGGGATAGGGTTAGGGATAGGGGTTAGGGATAGGGGTTAGGGATAGGGGATAGGGATTGGGGATTGGGATTGAGGATCTGTTACCGAGCAAGGGTCCTACATATTTTTTGAGGGGGGGAGGATGGCGGGATTGCGGGATTGCGGGATCGGGATAGGGAGCGGGATTGTATCCCAAACCACCTTTTTGGCACTACAGGAGTGCATTCGGATGTAATTCTTACTGCACTTCTGTAGTACAAAACAGGTAGGTCTAAAGGTCCTCCAGAGGTGGTTTGAATCTCAAAAACACCATCTTGAGAAACAATACCGATGTTTGTGTCTGTACATCCCTGTATAATTGAAATCCATACCCAGATTCTGTCTGTACATCCATGTGTGATTGAAATTCATACCAAGATTGGCAGATGCTCATCCGGCCCGGAACAGACATCCCCCACTCCGCAATGCAACATGGTGCCGGGGCCCTACATCCATCAATCCAACCATGGTTAGCAGGGGCCAAATCAGAGATGGTAGACCCTGCACTCACCTGGGGGCCTTGGGCCATGCCACACCAGCTTTACTTGATAGCTTACCCTGCCCGATGACACATCTAGGCCTAACAATGCTACTGCTTTATAATTGCACATTGTATTCCAGTATATTTTGAAATAATATTCAAACTTCTTTCTGATTTCTTTTTTGTTTCTTTTCCATTTTCAAATGGTTTTCAAATAGAAAAACCAAAAATTCAAAATATTGGTTTATAATTGGGGCCTAAGTTGGTCATTGTAAGTTTTGAAAATCATTCGAAATGAGGATTCCAATCCACAGTGACCCCATTTCATGATGAGTTTGAAAAATGGAGGATTGATATGGATTTGCAACGAGATGTGCTTCAAGTCCTTTTCCAAATGAGCTTCAAAGGGCTTCCAAATGAGAATTCAAATCTTTTTGACCCCGTTTTGAAAGGAGGGGGGAGGCGTCAGATTGGACCGTTTGTTTCAAATCATTGTGAAGAAACTCAAGATTTTAAGCCGGAGAAAAGGGAAGAGACCGGGAGAAGAAGAACCTCGAGGAAAAGCTCTGAGGGAAAAACAAAAGGTCTAAGAGCCCAAAAAGGGGCTAGTCTGCTAGCTTGCGTGGAGGAAAAGCTGACACGCTACAAGGAGTTGTATCCGGTAGTGACTCCAGGGAACAGGCGCAGAAGAACTGATGTTTTTCATTCTCTAACTCAGGAAGCATGAATATTTATCTACATACAAGATATGGCTGAGTTGTGGGACAGAAGATGACAATTCATATTCATCTGGAAAAGAGAAGAAAGGAGTGACAGATGAGAAGAGAGTGACAGAGATGTGACAGAGAGAGGAGAGCAGGACACAATCACTTCAGAATTCCAACACCCCCCCCAACTGATGGACCACAGACCTATAATCGATACTCGGCGTTGATATTTAGTTTCTTGAATTCGGGGTTAGCGAGCATCGCCTGAAAGTTTCGTTCAGATTCGACCTGTTCAGGAGTGAAGCCATGAGGGGTACTGAAAGCAAGATGAGCCTGAGCTGAAGTGGTGGTTTTGGATGAGGATGTTGATGGCGATGATTTGGTCGGACGACGATCGGGGTGTTTCTCGAAGCAGATCGCTTCACGATGACCAGCCTTGTCGCAGTGAGAGCAAATGGTGAATCCCTTCTTACAGTGGGGGCACATGTAAAACTTGTCGTCGGTGGTGAGAAGCGCTTGTTGGGAAGGAACCGAAGATGCTCGATCGAGGTGGTTCTGAGCCGCGTACTTTTCTAATCGGGTGAGCATCAACGCCACGGAGTCGCCGGCGCAACCAACACTGAGTACAGTCCTGAACGACTGGAATTCTGAGGGTAGCTTGCGAAGAATGATCGAGGTTTTGACTTGATCGTCGAGACCGATCTTTGATGAGACAAGCAGGTGATTGGCAGCGCGAACCTCAGCAATGAATTCAGACGGAGAGCCGTGATAGTCGAGATCGAGAAATTTTTCGAGAGCGAGATCTTTTGAAACGTAATCATCTCCCGCGTACTTCTTTTTGAGTATGTGCCAGACGGAGTATCCGCAGAACGAAGCTTCTTCGGGGAGAGTTTGGGATACGTAGGCTAGATGAGAGTCGTCGAGATGTTCTATTATTTCGATGTAGGCCATCCGATTGGTTTCCTCATAAGCGATCGATTTTTCGCTCGGTGGTTTATCTTTCTCTATCACCGGTTTCTGAACTGAGCCAAGAACGACTCCAAGGGATCCGATCTTGCTAAGCTTGGCTGTCATTAGGAATGACCATGTCGAGTAGTTACTGTTATTGAGGAGGAGAGGAGCGGTGCGAGAGGGAGTCATTGTGTGATGTGATGATGTGGATGGTGTTGAGGTTGAGTTGATGATGAGTAATTGATGAGGTTTTTGTCGGTTGACTGGGAGTTTCTATTGAGAAGATTTTTGAAAAAGGCGGATTTCGACTGTTAATCGTGAAGAAACTCAAGATTTTAAGCCGGAGAAAAGGGAAGAGACCGGGAGAAGAAGAACCTCGAGGAAAAGCTCTGAGGGAAAAACAAAAGGTCTAAGAGCCCAAAAAGGGGCTAGTCTGCTAGCTTGCGTGGAGGAAAAGCTGACACGCTACAAGGAGTTGTATCCGGTAGTGACTCCAGGGAACAGGCGCAGAAGAACTGATGTTTTTCATTCTCTAACTCAGGAAGCATGAATATTTATCTACATACAAGATATGGCTGAGTTGTGGGACAGAAGATGACAATTCATATTCATCTGGAAAAGAGAAGAAAGGAGTGACAGATGAGAAGAGAGTGACAGAGATGTGACAGAGAGAGGAGAGCAGGACACGATCACTTCAGAATTCCAACACATTGTTAATTTTAATTCCGACAGATTGGAATCAACGCTGGGCCAGCTACGCTAACCTTAGCAGGTAGCGCAGCGTAACAAAGCACAATTCCGCTAAACTTTAGCGCAGCGTAGCGGAATTCTGCCACGTCCACGCTAACACTACGCGTGCAGGCCCTTAAAAAGTGCCCGCTACGCTGCGCTAACAACCTGGTTAGTGGTGTTTTGGCCCTGTAGCGGCTGTTAGCGGCCCGTAGTGCAGCGTAGTGTAGCAAAAAGTTGCTAACTTTTTGCTAACACTATACAATTTTGGCACACAAAAAACACTGCTACGCTAACGCTTTTTGGGCAAAAAGCATAGCAGCCCAGTGCTGTTGGAATGGTACCAACACCCCAAGCCTCTTCTCTCTACCCAGGGATGGTGTGTTCCAAATGTTGGAAGCTACTTTTAACATTTTTCTTTTCTGATCCCTCTTTTTTGGGCTTTTTTCAGTCATTTCCACACTGATGTTGGTGTACCAATCTTGATTTCCTCCCTACAGTTTTATAAAGAGTCTTGGCAAATCAAGTCCTTCACTGCCAACATAATTGGCTAGGTTAAGGGTATCCTAGTTAAACTGGGATTCATTCATCCAAGTTAAACTTGGTTGCACTCAACCAATGGAATATTAACCCAAGGTGGTACCTTGATTTTATATTCCATTGGTTGGAGTTCAACAAAGTTTGACATTTCTTTGATTTGCATATTTTGAAGTGCTCCTGGCACAAATTTTGCAGTTTTTACCTAGTCAAGAGGCCAAGATATGAAAAATTGAGCAGTACATCAAGAAGTTCAATATGAGGATAGAAGCATCAAACATGTATGCTGTTCTGAATAATGCTTTTCACAAATCAAGGTATCCCAAATTTTGATGGACATATACCTAGCTAATAATGGAGGACTTCCCGTCGGATCTGGTACCCTCGCAGAAGTCGATTTAGACCCAAAAACTCTTAATTCTTGCAGAGAAATTTGAATTTTGCGGCTGTAAACCAACTCTGGGAGACCTGCAGATGTTGACGGGAAGTCCTCCAATAGGTGATCAGTTATCTGGATTTCTGGGTGAGAATCTGATGGGCACAAAATGAAAGAGAAAAACATTCAAGCTCCTTATGTACAACATTCTGGGGAGTGACTGGCTTGTGGATAGAAAAATATGTGGAACATTCTATGATGAACATGAAATAATAGAAAATATTTACCCTCCCAGGTTAGGGAAAATTCTAAAAACCCTGTATGTTGGGGCAACAGTGCAACCAATACAAGACAAGTATTGTGGATATTGAGTTCGATACACCACAATCTTTTTGTATTGGTATCACATCAGCACCCCCAGTGCCAACGGTGAAACAATTTGATGTGATGCAATAAATAGCCATGTATCGGTATTGCATCAAAAAAGCAATGCATTGCATCAGCATTGCATTGCATCGGCATTGTATTGGAAAGCAATGCAAACCGATGCCACCAAATTATAGTGCATCACATCACATCGCTTTGCCGATGCGATACCGATAAACTGTATCAAAGAATCCAATGCAAGCAATGCAATGCGGGGCCCCGCATTGCTCTCACAATGTGATGCGATAAAGGGCCAATACAATGTGATACCTATTCATGCATTGCATCAGTTACATCATTGCCAGTGCCCACCAAATACGTTGTATTCAAAGCCCTGACATTGTTCAGCCAATAAGGGATGGCATATTTCCTGTCCTGGGCTAGGAATACAAATACTGGATTGTGATCAGCACTACAAGGTATGTCCACCAACCCCCCTCCTCCTCTGCTCCTAAAGTGCTGTACAAACACCAAGCCAGTCAAACCCTCACCATAGAACCTTAAAAAATAAAATAATCCTGGGGAGTGATAATCACAGGGGAATGATAACCACACTCCTCCCCCCTTTGCACACTCACTCCCACACTCCCTTCTCTGAAGGAAGTGTGGGGCCACACTGCAATCAAAATTGGAGTGCGGGTCCACACTCCAACAATCTGCAGGGACAGTCCCCCAGCAGGTTGGAGTGTGAGGCTGCACGCCAATGTATAAGCAAGGCAGGCTTGCTTGCCTCGCTTGCAGGCTTGGATTCAGCCTCGCATGCAAACCTGAAAACCTAAACCCATAGGAATATGGGTTTAGGTCGCACCATATCCCATAGGACCCAGGGATGGGTCCTATGGAGACAACTACCCAGGCTTTGAACCTTGAACGGACATCCATTCAAGGTTTGAAGCCTGAAGGTCATCATCCAAGGTTTGAACCTTGGCCAATGGCCTTGAAGATCCCTGTAGGACCCAGGCCTGGGTCCTACAGGGATTATATGTTTGTTTGTTTCTTGATTCCTGCTGTTGGGGCTCCAGTCCAGCCCCTCGACCCGGGTCCAGTCCTGCGCTCGGATCAGTCTGTCCAAGCTCAGGACTGAAGTTTTCCTCCACCGACCACCTCTTCACGAGTCTATTGGCCAGTGATCAACCCAAACCCACCCAATCTGGCCTCCCTGAGCCCCTGAGAGACACCCAAGCCCCCCCTGAATCCCTGGTAAACAGACACACACCAAGGGAAGAGTGATCCCTGTAGGACCCAGGCCTGAGTCCTACAGGGATCTTCAAGGCCATCCGCCAAGGTTCAAACCTTGGACAATGGCGTTCAGGATTCAAACCTTGAATGGATGTCCGTTCAATTTTCAAAGCCTGGGCAGTCGTCTCCATTACCATAGGACCCATCCCTGGGTCCTATGGGATATGGCGCAACCTAAACCCATATTCCTATGGGTTTAGGTTTTTCAGGTTGGCATGCGAGGCTGAATCCAAGCCTACCTTGCTTATACATTGTGTGCAGCCTCACACTCCAATTGAAATTGGAGTGCAGGTCCGCACTCCAACCTGCTGGGAGACTGCCTCTGCAGATCGTTGGAGTGTGGACCCGCACTCCAATTTTGATTGCAGTGTGGTCATACACTCCCTTCAGAGAAGGGAGTGTGGTAGTGAGTGTGCAAAGGGGGGAGGAGTGTGGTTATCACTCCCCTCAGAGATTCAGCAACCAACTGAGACATCAGATTCAGGACAACCAACCAAGGTAATCAGGCAAGATTCCAATTACTATAAGATCTCCAGATAGCTAAAGACCAAGCAATATAACACGTACTTATGACACTCTGTATAGTTAAACACAAGAAGTCAAAACTCTGAGGCAGAATAACAAAGACAGAAATCTCAGGTGAGAAAGCAAAAAAAGGGAAAAAGAATAGATGTAGCAAATACCTGACTGAAGGTCTAAACAGTTGATTGGGTCAATCCAGGTTCACTCTATACTATTAATTCATTTGTTATATTACTCATACACATTTTTTTGCACAATTCCAGTTAATTTTTCCCATCTGAATTTTAGCTGAGCATTTTGTCCCAGGTCAAATTTTCCATAACCTTTACAGTTCAGAGGGCTTGTGCTGCAAGTTCTCTGGTAAGATGTGTTTTTTTGGTTTATTTTTTGGATAGACTCTTTGTGAGAACCCCACCTCCACTGGGTTTCACAAGGCCTGGAACGTTTGATTACATAAGCCAGCCCTGTTGTACTTAGGTTGATTCTCTCCCCTTTACCTAGATGGCAGAGTTCTCCTCTCTTCTGTCTAGGTAAGTAAAAGTTTATTTCATTATTTCTTTTCTGGTTCATTTTCCTTTTCTAAGTTAAAATGATTGATTGCTATACTGATAGGAGAGTTCTCCTCACTTCCATCTAGTATCTTTGAAATAAAATCAATTATAGTTTGGTTCTAGAATGCTCAAGCTGTTAACAGCCATTCCTCCAAGCCTTCCATACACTGAAGATCAGTGAAGGGATACAACCCTTACACTCTTGTGAGGTGTTTTGTGATGTGGCCTGTCTGGTGACAAGTGGTGTACTGCATTGGAGAATGACAGAAGCAGATGAATATTTTGGAAGAAAGGTAGTGAGGTGGTGGTAGAGTATGAACAGTGACTGACCTATAGATTGTCTTTTTTTCCCAAATTATGGACCATCCCAGTCTGAATTAGGACAGCCAATACCATTTTCATTCTTGCCATTACAATCAGGGCATACCCACTGTGGCCCTTCTTGTCCTTGAGTTTTGGATAGCTGTTCAATATTGAGACGTTTGTTGGTAGACTCCACACTTGGTAAGTCATCCACTGCGCTTGTGGGGCGTACATCAATTATACCCAAAGAGACTTGTATCCCAAGACACAATACTATAAGTGCAGAGAGGGTTATATAATTTGCCTTGAACATTTTGATTTGTATGTAATTAATTGTACTAAGAGAAGCTGAGGCAGCCTTTGATTACAATGAATGGAACAGTTATTTACTCTTGATTTGAACAATGACAAGGGATGATTTCTGTGTATGTGGAACAAAAACAAAGCATTGAAGGCATCCACTTAAATAGACAACAGCAAGTCTTTGCAGCGTCTGATTCAAGTAC